TAGACTTAAAGAGAATGTGGGTGTTGTCTTCCATGGCTAGTTACTTTATTTTTTTCTAAATCTTTTTGATATGAAGTTGTTAGTTATTATAGCTGTCATTTTTCTCCATCCATTTTTAGTTTTTTTTTTGCTTTCCCACCAACATGATGATAGTATATATTATATTGTATATTAACAAAAGGAAAAGAAATTGTCACCTTTAAAGTAGTAGGAATTTGATATGGAATTACCAAGTCAAATTGTAGGATTAATTGAAACAAAATGCTGAAGATCTACAACTGCTGATGCGTAGCACTGGGACAGGCTAGGTTCACAACAGGACTACTGCAGTGGCACAAGCCTGAATATTAAATGGCTTTGTTGGAGAATCTTTATAATTATTCTCAAGTTTAATGACAGAGTACTTAAGTAATGTCAAGTTTTGTCACTAACAGAAATATATATGTATATATATATTTATTTTGATGTATGCACCCAAGTTATATTATGTTTACATGGGGACATTGAATGTCAGAGAGGTGCCACCTAGCTATATATGTTGAAAATATGTAAGGCTTAATTTTGTTGGCATTCAAAAGGGAAAACGTCCAAGTATGGTCCTTCTGTAAGTAGGACATAAAGGTGATGAGGAGTTCTGGTGCAGGGCCAGCCGGGGACTGTATTGATCCAAGTATTGATCCTCCAGTCAGAGGAGAGGAAGCACTGCGTCGGCCTCAGTTGGGACTGCCCGGTGTTTGGTGCAGGAAGGGGGAACTCTGTCAGCTTCAAAAGGGAGAATATTACCAAAGGTTTACTGTTTAATGGTGGTAATAAGTGCTGTAGTGCAAGTCACTTCAAAGTTTTTATGCCATAAAAATAAGGTTTAAAGGAAAACCACATCACTTTTCAACTGAAAATGGCTAAGAAGAAGAACCGTGGAAAGAAGTCCTCAGGAGCCAAGGCTGGGAGTTCATCTGTACCAGAAAATGCTCAGACAAGTACAGAGCTAAAGGTAGACTCTGAGAGTGGTCCCTCAGCAGTTCCAGCAGATGGGGCATGTGATCAGGATGGCACACCAAAAGTCATTTGCACACACAGTATCATAAAAGAGCCAACTGTGTGCCAAAAGCTGTATGAAAAAAAGGTACATAATAGGAACCACTTTAAATCTGATTTTATTGACTCCATAGTCTTAGTGTGTGGACAGTATAGGTTTCAGTGTTGTAGTGGAGAATTGGGAAATGAACTTCTGGGAATTTTCCACTTGGATCAAGAAGCCATTTACATGCCTAGTCCTTTTCTATTTATAATCATGAGGGTGGATCTGCTGAAGCTAGTGATTTTAGAGTGAAGCTTGATGGCAAGATTTTTAGCTTTTCTGGTATTGTCTTGGATCATTTATATTTTTTCCTTCCTCGATTTCATGTGTTCTATTCCTTCTAGTGCCTCTTACTGTCCTTCTCCCTCCCTGTCTCCCCCCTCCTCTTTTTTCCTCACCCCCCCCTCCTCTCTTTTTTCCTCACCCCCCCTCTCCTCTCTTTTTTCCTCACCCCCCCCTCTCCTCTCTCTTTCCTCACCCCCCCCCTCTCCTCTCTTTTTCCTCCCCCCCCCTCTCCTCTCTCTTTTCCTCACCCCCCCTCTCCTCTCTCTTTTCCTCACCCCCCCTCTCCTCTCTCTTTTCCTCACCCCCCCTCTCCTCTCTTTTTCCTCACCCCCCCTCTCCTCTCTTTTTCCTCACCCCCCCTCTCCTCTCTTTTTCCTCACCCCCCCTCTCCTCTCTTTTTCCTCACCCCCCCTCTCCTCTCTTTTTCCTCACCCCCCCTCTCCTCTCTTTTTCCTCACCCCCCCTCTCCTCTCTTTTTCCTCACCCCCCCTCTCCTCTCTTTTTCCTCACCCCCCCTCTCCTCTCTTTTTCCTCACCCCCCCCTCTCCTCTCTTTTTCCTCACCCCCCCTCTCCTCTCTTTTTTCCTCACCCCCCCCTCTCCCCTTCTCTTTTTTCCTCACCCCCCCCCTCTCCCCTTCTCTTTTCCTTGCCCCCCCCACTCCTCTCTTTCCCCCCCCCCCACTCCTCCTCATCTCTTTTTCTCCCCCCCCACTCCTCCTCATCTCTTTTTCTCCCCCCCCACTCCTCCTCTCTCTTTCCTCCCCCCCCCCACTCCTCCTCCTCCTCTCTTTTCCTCCCCCCCCCACTCCTCCTCCTCCTCTCTTTTCCTCCCCCCCCCACTCCTCCTCCTCCTCTCTTTTCCTCCCCCCCCCCACTCCTCCTCCTCCTCTCTTTTCCTCCCCCCCCCACTCCTCCTCCTCCTCTCTTTTCCTCCCCCCCACTCCTCCTCCTCCTCTCTTTTCCTCCCCCCCACTCCTCCTCCTCTCTTTCCCCCCCCCCCCCACTCCCACTCCTCATCTCTTTTCTCCCCCCCCCCCCACTCCTCATCTCTTTTTCTCGCCCCCCCCCACTCCTCTGACTCTCTTTTCCTTGCCCCCCCCCCCCCACTCCTCTTCCTTAATTTTCCTTGCCCCCCCCCCACTCTATTTTCCTTGCCCCCCCCCACTCCTCCCTTTTCCTCCTCCCCCACTCCTCCTCCTCCTCTCTCTTATCCTCTCCCCCCCACTCCTCCTCCTCCTCCTCCTCCTCCTCTCTTATCCTCTCCCCCCCCACTCCTCCTCCTCCTCCTCCTCTCTTATCCTCTCCCCCCCCACTCCTCCTCCTCCTCCTCCTCTCTTATCCTCTCCCCCCCCACTCCTCCTCCTCCTCCTCCTCTCTTATCCTCTCCCCCCCCACTCCTCCTCCTCCTCCTCTCTTATCCTCTCCCCCCCCACTCCTCCTCCTCCTCCTCTCTCTTATCCTCTCCCCCCCCACTCCTCCTCCTCCTCCTCTCTCTTATCCTCTCCCCCCCCACTCCTCCTCCTCCTCCTCTCTCTTATCCTCTCCCCCCCCCACTCCTCCTCCTCCTCCTCTCTCTTATCCTCTCCCCCCCCCACTCCTCCTCCTCCTCCTCTCTCTTATCCTCTCCCCCCCCCACTCCTCCTCCTCCTCCTCTCTCTTATCCTCTCCCCCCCCCACTCCTCCTCCTCCTCCTCTCTCTTATCCTCTCCCCCCCCCACTCCTCCTCCTCCTCCTCTCTCTTATCCTCTCCCCCCCCCACTCCTCCTCCTCCTCCTCTCTCTTATCCTCTCCCCCCCCCCCCTCCTCCTCCTCCTCCTCTCTCTTATCCTCTCCCCCCCCCCCCCACTCCTCCTCCTCCTCCTCTCTCTTATCCTCTCCCCCCCCCACTCCTCCTCCTCCTCCTCTCTCTTATCCTCTCCCCCCCCCCCACTCCTCCTCCTCCTCCTCTCTCTTATCCTCTCCCCCCCCCACTCCTCCTCCTCCTCCTCTCTCTTATCCTCTCCCCCCCCACTCCTCCTCCTCCTCTCTCTTATCCTCTCCCCCTCCCCCACTCCTCCTCCTCCTCTCTCTTATCCTCTCCCCCTCCCCCACTCCTCCTCCTCCTCTCTCTTATCCTCTCCCCCTCCCCCACTCCTCCTCCTCCTCTCTCTTATCCTCTCCCCCTCCCCCACTCCTCCTCCTCCTCTCTCTTATCCTCTCCCCCTCCCCCACTCCTCCTCCTCTCTCTCTCTCTCTTTTCCTCCCCCCATGAGAGAGCACGAGGACATGGGATGTAGTGTATATAATTGATATTTGTATGGGGAATGGAAACTATTTATTAGTATTCATTGTATTCCAAGGGATTATGGATAGTTACACTGAAAGATAATCTGGAAAGTTAATTGTTTATATTATAACAGCATTTGTAAAGCTGTTCACACTTGAAGACTTTAAGATTTTGCAATTTACGAGTACAGACCATAATGCCAGCCAGGGAAGGGAGAGGTGCTAGGGACATCTTGAAAGATTATATATATATTATATATTATATATTATATATTATATATTATATATTATATATTATATATTATATATAAAATAAATAATATATAATAATTATGGCTTTGAGAAACAGAACTGTGCAAAAGTTATATTTGTTCAATTGAAGTGAACCTTTTCCACAGCATACTATTCAGTTTGCAGGTAGATTGGAATTATGCTTGGTGGCTTAGTGTGAAAGGTCTTGAAAAAGTTTTAAAATGCTTTGGTGTCAAAATTATTAATTAGGAGGGAAGGTTGTTGGTTCATTAAAATACTATCTCATTCCTGCTCACTAAATTGTATTGCAAGGAAAATCAAAGGAATATTTGGTTAGTGACTGTTTTATATTCCACTAGTTGTACATTTGGTTGTTGTGCAATATGGTTGATTGACTTCTTGTTTGTACTATACTGAAACCTAGTACTGTTGGAATTTTGAAAGCCTATACAGAGGAGTGTAGTTTACATTGTTGGTTGGTATGTCTGTTTACTGTTACTAATTGCTCATATCACATCTTTGTTGCAAAAGAGTTTACTTCTGTACTGACCAGATGGAAGGGATCCAATGACATAGGCTATAGCTAGCAGCATTATTAACTGTTATAATTTAAAAGAATAATCCCAAGAATTAGATGCAATAGGGAAATGTGTAAGATTGTGCAAGATTCAGGTGGTAAAAGGTTGCTAATAAAGTAATTACTTTGGGAATGATTGATAGTCTTGACATCTTCAAGGCTTGTCAAATTAAACTTTAGAATTATTGTGAACTGTAGTGCTCCCATTGGGCATTTTTGTCACACTGCAGGAATTTTGTCTAGCATGGAATGATTTTTTTAGTTAACAGACAAGTTAGATAGATACATGTGGTTTTGTCTTTATAGAACAAGTGTTCTGTACCAAATTAAGATTTTGCAATTTTGACAGTGGATTATTTAACTATAAATTTGCTCTTCATTTAAAAATTTTAGTCTAGGATGCGGAATTTATTTTTATCATCACCAGTAAATTAATTTCATATTTTTATTTGTTATTATACAGTTGGAATTTTAATACTCAGGTATAGGTATCCTATAGATATTAGAGGAAAAATTCTTACATTCATTGTCTCTTATTCTAGGACCAAGGTGCATTCCTTAGTGAGTTCGAGACGAAGGCATTACAAGTAATTACTCAGTCGTCTCAGACACCACAGCCAGAGGTTGTGGAGAAAGTTGTAGAAAAGGTTGTTGAAGTTGAAAAGGTAAGTGAATGCTCTTGTACAGCAATAAGCCTTGTACATCTTTTTTTTTTCTTCTTCTTCTTTCTTCTTAACCTTGCATTTCATATCCATGGAGTCTTATCAGGATTATTGGCCCAAGTTTTAATTACCAAGATGCAGCTACATTGCAGTCCTGATAGCAGGAAGTGTTTATTAATAATGAGATCAAACAGATTTTATTTGTATTCATTTTTTGTTTTTCTGTTTTTAATAAGGGCAAGCTTTCAATATGGAATTTGAAGCATAAGTGTCTTCACAAATCAATAGCTAGAAACTTGGCATTCTTGTGTTGAATGCATTGTATGCGTGTCTTTTTATGGCTTAAAGAAAAGATGTACAATTTTAAGGTGTTTGAGAAAGAATTTTTTTTGGTCATGCAAAATGTCCTTCATACTTTACATAATCATGATGAAGCAAAATAACCATTTAATTCCTTCTCCTTTACAGGTTGTAGAGAAGGTAGTTGAGGTAAAGGTTGAAGACCCAGAACTCAAGTCTCAGGTTGAGAAACTTGCCAAGGAAAATGCTCAGCTTAAGTCTCAGGTATGTTAAAATGCTAGAATCCAAGGTTGCTGACTATACAAATATACATTAAAGTTACTATTTTCACTAATTTAATTTAAATTGTTTTCAGGTTGAAGATCTTAAGAGATCGTCATCTGCCAGTGATAGCAAGAGAGTTAGTGAGCTGGAACAAGAAGTCCAAGCAGTCAATGAGAAAGTTGTCCATTATCAGACTGTTCTTGCAGATACCGTAAGTAATCATTAAATGATATTGATGCTATATCTTTTGTAGTGTGGATGACTTTTTTCAAGACTGCTGATATATTATTAAGTTTGAGTAGGTAGATAACCCCAGACTAGAATCAAATAATTTGCTTATTTGTTTTTATTATTTATAATTTTTATTTTTTGTGTGAATGTTTCAGGAGAATTTACTCAAATCATTAGAGGCTTCTGTTGAGTCAGAGGAAGTGACCTGGAATAAAAGGTTGTCAGAGAAAGACCAAGACTTGCGTCAACTAACGGCTGACAAAGCTAACCTCCAGCTGCAGGTGAAACAGCTAGAAGGCACCTTAGACAAGGTCAAGCAGGCAGAAGAGGTGAGTACGTGTGGTTTAAGGAGAAATTGTAGGTTTTGAGCCTAAGCTTCTGGATGTGATAGTACAGGGAAGGTAAGTTCATAATCACGCACGTTTTGCTTGCATTCATCCAAAGAAGTTGTACCTTTTGATATGAATTTCAACACTCGACTTGAGTGTCCCAATCGTCATTGAATGTTATAGGTACCCTGACTAGTAACTAAATGTATATATAAATTATACATGTCTAATTATTTCTGTCTTTAAAGTTATTGACACCAGGAATGGCATTATTGCAATGCAAACTGAACCTGGTCTGTGAATATCACAAAAAAAAATGTGAATTATAATTGTACCATGATGATGATGATAAATTATTTTGGTTGCTAGTCTACATTAGGCCATGCTTACAATTTGATGGAAGGATGCAGTAATTGTACCATGCAAATGTCTATTGTTCATTACTAACACCTTCCTCTAATTTTGTCAGCATCAGTTAGTAAATTGAGGCAAACACTTTTTTTTTTCCCCCCTTATCCTATTCTATTCAATTTTGCAAATGCAGCATCAGTATTCCTCTTTTCATGTGATATTAAACTTTTTTTTTTTCTACGTTAGGCCAATGGAATTCACTTGTGTGAATTGAGGCAGGCAGCTCAAGTGACTTAGGATCAGGCAAAGGTTTTGTGCATTTTTTTCTAGTAAGCTTGCCATTGGAAAATGTTCTCAACATTATATATATCTTGTATTACTTTTTCTTGTGTAAAGTCTGTGAAGAGAATATGAATGTAAAAAAGATTAAGAAAAGCTGATGAAAATATTACATTTGGATTGCATAAATTTATATGAACAACTACTAGCTTTACTAATTTGCTGAAGATTTCTCTAGCCTTTTCAGCTGAATTCGGCAAGAGTGACATGCATTATGCTAATTAGCTAGGTCTTTAAGTTTTCCTGTCAAAAGCCTTATTAAATTCATCTTTAAGGTTCTTGATGATTTTGGTTTTAACAAGCTCAGGTTTTTTTAGCTTGCCAATTGGAAAATGTTCTCACATTATATATATCTTGTATTACTTTTTCTTGTGTAAAGTCTGTGAAGAGAATTGAATGTAAAAAAGATTAAGAAAAGCTGATGAAAATATTACATTTGGATTGCATAAATTTATATGAACAACTACTAGCTTTACTAATTTGCTGAAGATTTCTCTAGCCTTTTCAGCTGAATTCGGCAAGAGTGACATGCATTATGCTAATTAGCTAGGTCTTTAAGTTTTCCTGTCAAAAGCCTTATTAAATTCATCTTTAAGGTTTCTTGATGATTTTGGTACATAGCTTTATTTTTATTTGGAATGTAGAATAGCCATTTTCTGATTGAGTGAGTAAGGCTTTAAATTCTGTTTTGATGAAATTGAATAAATGGATGAGTGATATGACTCCACTGATGCTCTTTCTAGTAACCAGTAAATTGTTTTATTACTTCTATCTTGTTTTATGAATCTTCAAAATTGCCTTTTGTATATACATGTATATTTTTGTGTGACTGGATTGAAATAAACTTTTTGGAATCATAAATAAGACCTAAAACTACTCTTCAGTCATGGCTTGGCTTGTGTGTTGGCTGTGTATGAGATTGTCCACTTTTTTCTAGGCAGCAGCAGAGGTTTGTGGAGTGGAGTTTGCGTTAAATTGCATAGAGAAGTCTCTGCCCCTCGTAGTCACTCAGGTACTTTTTAAAAAGATTGGAAGGGTGCAAGTGGCTTATTTGTAGCTGGAATGGCTTTTGCACTTTGGCTCTGGCTGCAAGAGGCATGAATGGTTATTGCCCCCCCCCCCTTAAAGAAGAAAGTTGTAAATGATAACTAGAATTAAGTAGAAAAAATGGGACTTCAGTTTTTCTCAAGGGTTCATTCTTGTCAATTAGCTTATTTTTAGTAGGTTTTAAATGAAAAATGATGTTACAAAAAATTTAGTAGTAATACGCACAGCAAACCTAACCACATTCTTTTTGTTGAGGATGCTTCTTCAAAACTCCTTTTATACTTCATACAAAAATGGCTCAAGGTTCAAATGTAGAAATTGTGGAAAGGTTTTCTGTATAAAACTGGATAGACAAATGTATGATTTTGACAACTTTTAATATACATTACTTGTGGGGGGCCTTTCCTGTTAGCAAAAGCATTGACGTCTGTTTTAGAATGTTTTAGAACTGCACATTTTAGTTTTTTATATTTATAGTGTTGTGATATGCATGCTGCTGCCTTTTGGTGCTTTATCTTCCATTTCTGACAATTCATTTTTAGGTTGTTAACTGTCTTGTGCGATTGATGCCTCAATTGTTGAGTTTTGAATGTGGATGGTAAGACCTCAGAAAGGCAGTAATATAGATTGGACTTTGTAGTTAATGGAATGCACTGAAGATTTGTGCACACAATATTGATTTTGCAAATTTGAAAGTATTTTTCTATATATGCATGTATGCATGTATGTACTAGTGTATGTAATACATTTTTTATACATTTATACATGCATTTCATTTAATTACTTGTATATTCACATATGGTAGATATTTTGATAATAAAATTGCACCGTTGTATAGAAAGTATGAAACATATATTTTGTTAGGAAAAAGCTAATGAATAAGGGAATAAAGTATCTCATAATTGCCAAAATTTGCACTTCAACTGACAATTCATTTTTAGGTTGTTAACTGTCTTGTGAGATGATGCCTCAATTGTTGAGTTTTGAATGTGGATGGTAAGACCTCAGAAAGGCAGTAATATAGATTGGACTTTGTAGTTAATGGAATGCACTGAAGATTTGTGCACACAATATTGATTTTGCAAATTTGAAAGTATTTTTCTATATATGCATGTATGTACTAGTGTATCTAATACATTTTTTATACATTTATACATGCATTTCATTTAATTAATTGTATATTCACATATGGTAGATATTTTGATAATAAAATTGCACCGTTGTATAGAAAGTATGAAACATATATTTTGTTAGGAAAAAGCTAATGAATAAGGGAATAAAGTATCTCATAATTGCCAAAATTTGCACTTCAAAAATTAAGGCAGACAAGCAGTCAACCAAGTATTTGAAGGGAGAAGATAATTGAACCTTGTAGTAATGATTGGTTGATTTTTAAATTTTGTATCCCATGTATTTAGGTTAATATAAAATAGGTAAATGAATAATGCAGTATTAGCATTTATTACCATCCATATTTAAAAAGTGGTGAAATAAGAGGATTTGAAAGAATTTTACTCCTATTACAAGGCTATTAGGCTGATGCAACACAATATTCAGAAATGTGTTTATATAATTAATTTGCAGAAAAGCATGGTGTACCTTGAAAGACTTGAATGTTTTCTCTTATATGCAGATGCAGTCTCAATTGAAGGAACTGCAGGAGCAGCTACAGAAGGAAGAAAAGGAAAAGGCAGCTCTTCAGGAGGAGCTGCTGAAGGCCCAGGAGCAGCTCACACAGACCGCTACCAAGGTAAGTTAAACCGACTGAAAAGACGGGTTTTTGAGCGTAGGTTTTGGAGTGTCATTTGGTTATTGCTGATGGTGCAGGGTTAATGCATAAAATCCAGGTGTATTGGCAACTTGATGGATACGTTGTAGCAATGGAATCCTTTTTAATTTTATTTTTATTTTTTCCATATCATAGATGACTAATAGAAATTGAAGTGTTAGATGTGTGTTTCTTTATTTTATTTTTTATTGCTTGGGTTCCTGGAGAAAAGGAGGAAGGAAGGAAGGAAGGAAGGAAGGTGAGTGAGTGAGTGAGTGAGTGAGTGAGTGAATGAGTGAATGGAAAATTTATTAGTTTTATATATATAATATAATGCTTTTCAAAAAATACAATGATTTATACTACAATGCTACTGTAATCACTGTCTTTTAATTTAAGGGAAATTTGATTTACCCTCATGATTAAGTATTAATAATGATCATAAAATAGCAATTCAGATCTGAAACTCTCTTCTCCTATATAATTGGAGTATTGTTTTGAAAGTGCTGCATGTGAATGTTATTTGTTTTTGCTTGAATTAAAATTTGCATGTCTTCCAGTTGCTGTGTAGCTTTTGTAATATGTGAGAATAGTTGAATATGAATATTGGCAAGGATACCATGCAAAGGGAAGTGCATGTATTTGTTGACATGGCACATGCAGAACTGAGTCATTTGAATATTGTGAACTGTGTAATCACTTAGGCACAAGCAGTATTTGTTAGCAATGTGTTATAGATGAATTTGTAAACAGGTGGTGATAATTACTGTTTATGAAGTGAATTTATAGATAAATTATGGAGACAAGTTCTATATCCAATGTGTGTATTCTAGTATAACTTTATTTTTTTCATGCTGTACATAATTAGGGTACTAAAACATAATTCAGAATATTCATGGGAACTTTTTTGTTATCTTGGTAATTTTTGATGCTACAAGATAGTGTGTATGTTCAGTGATGATCCTCACTGGGATTATATTAAATTTGATTTCATGTATCAGTAGGAATAGCATATGTCTTTAAGTTGGAGGAAACATTGCTAATAAACTGTATGAGAAAGGAATTTAAAGACTAATTAATAGTTAGGGAAACCATATGCAGTGGTGGTTGAGTAATCATGTTTAAGTATTTAATGCTCTGAGTAAATAATTCCAGTAGGTATCGTGTGTGTTAAACATCCGGGTCATCATTGTCATACCTTCATGTCTAGTTATACATTATGATTTGCTGTTACACTAAAGAAAAGCGCTTCTTTTTATATGATCAACTTCATAAGAAGGGAGTCGTATATCTGAGGTAAACTAATGGGAAATAGGTTGCACAAGGCTTGATTACTTAGAAAAAAAAAAAGTTAGCACGTACTTGGACCGACCCCAGTATTGTGTACAGGGCAGCGGTGATGTTGATGTGGGCTTGCTGGAGCTGCGTGCAGACAACGACAAGCTTCGAACACTAGTCAGTGTTGGGCAGGATGCCAGCCGGCAACAGGAACAGCTCATCGAGGAGCTAAGGACGGAACTAGCCTCTGTCAAGGTAGGTAACAGGGCCATCAGACCTCAGTGTACAGCAGTGTAGGGTTAAGAATCCTAGATGGTTGCAGTACGGCAAGACAAGGTCTCTGGATGTACATATATAAATGAGGGAATAAAATGATAGTTATTAGGATAAATGCCTGCCAGATAGAGGAATTAGTTATAAGCAAGTTTTGCAGGTAAGAAGCCAACACCAGGCTGCATGTAGGAATCTTGTAGATATACAGGATTGTATGGCTCACCCAGTGAGGTCAATGCCTATAAGCTTTGCTCTGCTATTTCTCACTGTTTCTGTCCTTTGCTTGCATGACTTTTTCTACAATTTGCATGTAAATCTTTGCTTTTTGATTTGACCCAGTATATTTTTTGGTGATTGTATGAATCATTCATAATGCAGAATATCGATTTTCCTAGTAACAGACTTATTGATGTATAGACACCAAACCAATCATTACAATGTTTTATTGGAACTTAAGGAAGTTTAACAAGTGTTAATCTTTAAAAGATTTTGTACACTACTGTAACTGCACATGAAATATGTGTTATGCATGTACATATCATGTAAATAGATATTTTATCTCCAGTCAGCAGAAAATTAAGACTAATGCAACTTAATACGCAAGTGATGTCCAAGGTTTTTTTCTCTATGATGGGAACTTTTATGGTTGTTAAAACATCTAGCAGTACACTAGGTATTGTTCTTGTTTCTATTTCCCCATGATCTTAAGGTTCAGTCAAGAAATTAGAAGGAAAGGTCTGTCCTTTATCTTGCTTCCATCAGGCCTACCAAAGCATTGTGCTTGGCAGATCCCATTCCATCATTAAGAAGACCCTGATAATAACCTAGAACAGAGAATTAAAGTTTTATTGGCCAAATAGCAAGGTAGTTTGGAATATCCTAAATATTGCCTATCCAATTCTTTGTCACCAAACCTGCTTGATCATGTTCTGCACCAAGTTGAAATGGTGATTTTGGATACATCCACCTCCATTGCAAATTGGCTGATGACTTCCCAACTCTCTATAAAGTTGATACCTGGTTCTTCTTAATGAAGAAAGATTTGCTGGGCCTAATGCCTAGTTAGGCCTAGGGAAAGGAAAAGATGGGATAGAGATAAAAAGCAGTAAAAAGGAACAAGTAAAGATGACTTAATTTCCATTACTTGCAACTTGCTGATTGGTTCATTGGAATGCAGGGAAAATAGAACCAAGAAGCCTG